GCGTATGAGGCTATTCTTTCCGAATAAGAATAACACGGCTAATGTTAAATTTTTACTTTATTTAAATTTAGAAATATTCTTTTACATCGTTTTTTTGTGAGTTTTAAGCACATTAGTGTATCTATTTTACCAAACACATGTTGTTTGTTCTTAAATACTTCTAAATCCTTGCAAAAATAAATTCATTAGAAGTTGAACATTTTGATAATATCTATGTAAATAGTACACAAGGGTCAGATTTCCAGAAATCCAGAATTACAATTTTACCGTTTTGCTGGACATTCTTATGAATTAGAGAAAAGAAAATGGATTGTAAGATTGTACGATTGTAGGAAACAAAATGTAATAATTGTCTTTTCGTTAAAAAAATATATTTAAAAAATATCAAAAAGTTTCTTCAAAATATTTTATTTCAATTTCAGGTTAAACCAGAATATAAAATAAAATAAGTGTAGGACAAATTAATATTTCATATTTTTAATAGACTAAATATTTTGTTGATTATTATTATTATGATTAGATGAATACCTTTTTATTTACAGGAGTCGTGGAAAACTGTGGCTTCCTGAAGAAAATTCTAGGATTTGCAATATTCATTTGGATGCGAAAAATCCAATAAGCCTCTGAACGAATCTTATAACTTTTAGGAGCTTACTTACTATTGTCAACTTCAGTTGGAGCTGCATCAACTTTTGAAGATGCAATATTCGTCGTGCTTTCTATCTCTTAGCTTTCCTATTTGTCTTAGTTCTGTAAAGCAATCAGTTTACAGTGTATTAGGGTCTAAGTTTTAAAATTATCTCATTCTCTCTCGGACAACTAATATTATGGGTGAAATTTGGTTGCAGTAGGTTGTACTGTCACATATACAGTGTAGGAAAGTACCGATGGTCTATCAGAAGTTACGTGAGAGCGATAAAGTAAGCCATAGAAATCCAAGTGATAGACAAGGATGGCTATAATGAAGGCGTCTAATAGTCACCGCCCATTTCGCCCTTCCACAAATAAGAAGTGGATCTTATTTGTGGAAGGGCGAAATGGGCGTTGACTATTAGACGCCTTCATTATAGCATCCTTGTCTATCACATGGATTTCTATGGCTTACTTTATCGCTCTCACGTAACTTCTGGTAGACCATCGGTACTTTCCTACATTGTATGTGACAAAGTACACAGAATTGTTTATCTTAATTTAGTTTTAAGGGCTAATTTGGGGAGGCTAACTTCACTCAAGCGATTTATCAAAAATTTTATTTTCTCAAAAACGGTACCTACAAAGATATCGACTGATATACATACCCTTTTTTAAGCAAAGTGAGAGAGGAATCGAAATATGAAAGAAAAATACCAAATTTGGCAACGCTTGATAATCTTATTTTTGTCGTGAAGTTGAAACGACATCAAACTATAAATATTTTGATAAAACAAACTTGACGAAAATTGTATTGAAATGGATCTGAAAGTAATAGTCCACGGGCCCACGTACAAAGAAAAAAATTATTACCAGCAAGCTGTAACTTTGCGTGTAGCTTAAGTTTGACGAGTCTTCCAAGATTTGACTACGAGGAAAATTCAACAGTGGTAAATTTTCCCGTGATTTTCAGGAAAACATGTCAATCTGGCATAAACATGGAATGTTATGACCAGCACTTTTTTTTAAGTTTAAATGAAAGATATATATTTTTTTAAACCCCCAAAAAATTTGTTCGATAAAAATGTTAGTATTTTGAGTTTGTCCCCCACCCCAAATATGTCGATTTGGTGACATTTTGGTTGGTGACAACCAGCAAGCTGATTTTTCTGGGAGCGTTTGGTAATAAGATTTGAAATGAAAATATCTTATTGTCCGACAAAATTCTTGAGAAGTTTTTGCAGTCCGACGCCCCGAAGATGTCGACTTAACGACAACATGGTTGGTGATAACCAGCTGTCGGACAAAAGCGTCATTATTTTAAAAAATGCAATATTAATCTGAGAATTTAATTGTCCGACAAAATTATCGTTTTTTTTGCTTGTCCGACAAAATTAAACGATAAAATTTTGCGGTTTCAATACTTATGCATGATGTAGAAGAAAAATATATATTTAATAAAATAAATATATGAATAAAAAAAATTTTGTTTAAATTTCAAAATAAATATGACTAATTTAAATTTATTTTTTTATACAATTAGAATTAGATTACAAGAAAATTTTATACAGGGTAGTCCCGAGCTAATAGGTCAAAATTCAGGCGTATATTCTCGAAGCAAAAATATTGCGATGTAGCCGAACTTAGCTTAGTCCAAAAGTTGATAGTTAAAGAGAGGTGTTAAATGTAAAATATTATTTTAGTTTTTTTTTCATTTATTTCTAAACAAATGCAAATATCCTCACAAAATTTTGAGGTTTGGAGTTCTTTAAGTAGAGGAATTGAAATGTGTTCAGATTTTGGTTAAAGTTCATAGAGGGCGTTAGTTGCAGTAGATTGAATGTGCTAAAAACGACATAACTTTTTTATACTTTAAGGTATCTCATCTTTGGTACCAAATTCTTATTTTGCAACTTTTTTTACACAAAAAAGCTACACTTTATAAAACTAGCTGTCTCGCACCGTTTTCGAGATATTGTTGAATTAAATTACAATGAAGTACCTACCTATTATTAATTTAGCGGTGAAGTTTCTTAAGTTTGGACGAAAATCAAATAATTGACACTCCACTTGTCTTATTGCTGTCATTTGTATGCTACTGTCCATTAAGTATTATTCGTACCTAAAATTACATCTTAATTTAAATTGTATGCACATAAATGTGAGATGTAATGCCGACACTTCCGTTTTTGGGGTTACATGAAATCAGTTGTTAATGGAGAAACTATAAACATCTGTTAAGAACTTTGGCAGCAAGTTTTAAATGCTGCAAAGTCATTTCGCATTAAGGATTTATACTTTACAACAAGACAATATTTTAATAAACGCGTTGATAATTGTATAATAATATTTTTAAAATTGGTTTAAAATTGGTTTAATTGGTTTTTCAAGAACAAAACCATGTGTAAACTATTTGTCAAAACAAGATTGCAAATTTTAATTTAAAAAAACACAAGCAAAAATTTATGCATTCATTGTACAGTTACCATTTTTTATAAAATAGTTACAATAGTTTATAAAATAAAATGCACATATACGTTTTTTGAACAAAGAAATCATTTTGATGGAAATTAATTAAATTAGTTAGACATAATTATTTATGAATTTCAATTTCTGTTATTCCTGTTAACAAGATAATTATCTTATTTATTCTTCTTTATTTTTTCAGTAAACAATTAATTACTTCATAGCGGAATGAACATTAGGTACCACAAAAATAGTTATTTTTCCCATTTTTAAGGCAAAATTTCCAATCTTTTTGGCGGACAAGTATATTATTGTGTTATACATTTCAATTATTAGAGAAAAAAATCAAAACCAGATTGCTGGTTATCACCAACCATGTTGTCGTTAAGACGACATCTTCGGGGCGTCGGACTTCAAAAACTTCTCAATAATTTTGTCGGACAATAAGTTATATTCCCAGAAAAATCAGCTTGCTGGTTGTCACCAACCATAATGTCACCAAATCGACATATTTGGGGTGGGGGACAAACTCAAAATACCAACATTTTTGTCGGACAAATTTTTTGGGGGGTTTAAAAAATATATACCTTTCATTTAAACTTAAAAAAAGTGCTGGTCATAACATTCCATGTTTATGCCAGATTGACATGTTTTCCTGAAAATCACGGGAAAACTTACCACTGTTGAATTTTCCTCGTAGTCAAATCTTGGGAGACTCGTCAAACTTAAGCTGCACGCAAAGTTACAGCTTGCTGGTAATCATTTTTTTCTTTGTACGTGGGTCCGTGGACTATAAGTTTTCAGTCGCAATATTCGCTATTTCAAAGGATGGAATATGAAATTGTTATTGGAAAATATCCACGGCGGGAAATCTTAACTTTTGATTTTGAAGGAGAAGCAGTTTAGTTTTTGTTGGATATAATAACAAATCTAGTTTTCTAGGTTTATGTAATTAGATTATTTTTCTCCAACCGTCACAAAACTATGACATTTTTTGACTGTCAGAAGTCTTTAAGGTTGACATTTTCCTGAGAAAAAAATGGTATCTTAGCAACAAAAGTATTCACTTTTAATTCTAGGAGCTAAAGTTGACACTTTTAATCGCCACAAAAGTAACACTTTTAATCCTAATATAACAATATACTATTGGTTAATCTAGAGAAGTGAGTAATAAAAATAATTCGTGATAAAGGAACTCTTTCTCTAATTCTCTAAAATCCTCTAATCCCCAAAATTTCCTCAAGCGTTAATCATATTCCCCAAATTGGAGGAAATTTCCTCAAGGTTGACAAACATAAATTCGCCAAGTATAAAAAATTTAATTTCAGTCAATCTATCTTAATTTAAATGATAAAGAGATTTAAAATCTTACTATTGAAATAACTTTTTTTTATTAATAACTAAGAATTGACCACTTTCCTCGCTTATGGACATTTAAATAGAAAATACTGAATTTCCGAACTATCTGTAGATTCTCCACGAAAAATGCGTCTTACCAAGTACAAAGAAGCATTCAGGTTGCTGCCCCGAAAAAAAAAAATAGAAAGTTAAAATGACTAATTAACTAAACATTTTAAAACCAATTTAAATGAAGATATTTAACAGCAACCAGTGATTATAAAAAAACTCATTTTTCTAAAAAATCTAAACTAGAAATTAATGTAACACGTAGTTCAAGGTCAAAATATTTAAACTAATAATAATAAAAAATATATATGCAGGGTCAATTAAGTATTATTTACAATTAGTCTTATTATGAACTTAAAATTATTTTTAATACGAAGTGATTGTGAATAAGTAAGAAAATGTATAGATACAAATAAGGTTTTTGACGACAGATATTGTAAGCAGGGCAAGGTTATAACTCTGCAATGGTTTGTATTAGATTTAGAATAATCAGTATTCGATTGATTAGTCTTTCGATCAAGTTCTCATCACGAAAGTGTTAACATTTGAAAAATTCGTTGATTTATCAAAGTAAGTTGTAAAATATTAGTAAAATGTAAAAGCATTATTTTTTTTTTAATAAATTATCATCAATAGTTGGTCATAATATTGTCTGTAAGATTATTTACTTGTGAAGTCTTTTAGTGCTTTGTTATAATGTTGTATTTTGCTACATTGGAAAGATATTCAAGGCATTTGAAAATTTTCAAAATATTTAAATCTCTTGCGTCAAAAGGCCCAGTCAAGGAATTAATTTTATAAACTTATTTTTGTCACATTGAGAAAGTAGAGAATTTTTCGCGACTGTTAATTAAACTATTCTTTTTTTGAAATAGTTTGAAATCAGAAGGACTAAAAAATACACTTAGCTGATCCTATTTGCTGTTTCAATTCATCTTTTCTTTTTAGTGAAGTAATATATCCAGTTAAAAAAATAGATATTAAAAGAAAATAGTTATGATCGTAATTAACTGACAGTTTAAGGCCCGTTACTTTGAGTCTCGGTTAAAGGTTGATTAACTGATCAGGCGATTAGTCTGTACATTTTTTGATTTATTTGATAAAGTATAATCACAGTCTAATCACCTGATTAGTTAATCAAGCCTTAACCGAGATTCAAAGTACCGGGCCTAAATGAGTTAAAGTAGGCACAAAATACCAAAAAACTTATTATAATTACTTGGGAAATTAAAAGAGAAAATTTGGATCTATGAAGGATAATTTAATGAAAAATAGAAATATTAAAAAATCCATAAACTAAAATGTCAAATTTCACAAATGGCGAATGCGCCGCGTGACAACTTCTTGTTTGCATTTAGACAAGCAAAACTTATTTGCAAAATATGATAAGCATCTTTTGAAAGACACTGTACGTTATCTAGGTTTTCAACCTTAAAATTTTTGGAACAAACGAATTCAGTAATCGCGGTTCCATTGGTATGCAACTGAAATTTTATAAAATCTATAAAATTCCACAAGATTTTTTCAGTATTATTATTCTACAAGAAAATGTTAATTTCATCAGTAGTAATGATTAAGATGAATAGACATATTCTAGTAGAATGTGCGTTTTTATACAACTGTATTAATGCTAGCTTTTAAAATGAAATAATATCATCAAATATATTTCATATGAACACATTTTTTTCGAAAAAGTATCTTTTGAGCGACATAAAACGAATTAATGGGTTTAGAAGATCTACCGATATTTAATTTTTATTATAATAACCGTAATTAATTACAGTATTTGTTTTAATGTTTACCCAGATTTTTTAAAAATTACAATAGTTGTTTTTACATATTTATACATGATGTTACAAATTCGCTTCTCACTACAGGGATCTCGGAAATAGTAAGAGATAGAAGTAGTTTAAATGGGGGTAACATTATGCCTCTAAAAATCAAGGCTAACATGATTAGTTTTCGTAATACTTTTGTTTCATTTTAGCCTTGTTTGAGATGATATTGAATGTTTTCTCATGACAACTTTTTGCCCTCTATCGAATAGCATAATCAATTTTTATATGTAACATTTCGTCTCTCCAGGACTACCATCAACTGCATTTTTTTAAATAGAACCTTGGAAGTTTTATTACATTTTTTGCAAGACTTCATGACCCCCAATACTGTACTGCCTAAGCCCGCCGAACCAGATTTAGACGTTTTGTCTCGAAAAATTAATCTTCAATGTATTCGTTCCAAAATTTAATTTTTTATTTAGATTTCTATGTTTCTTGAATTTAAGCTAATTCGTAGCCCTTACCGTTTCCGAGATCCCTGTAGTAAGAAGCGAATTTGCAACAGCCTGTATATAAAAAAAAACGATATAAATGATGTTTCTAATCATAAGTCTATTTTCATTATATTACATTCTGGGAATATTGTTGAATGTTTGTTAAACTCACAGATTACTAATTGCCTTGAAAATGAGATTTTTAATCCCCGCTTTCGTAATAAAGTGACTTCTACAAAAATTGTAGATTTTTGCAAGATCTACAACTTTTGTATTGGATACTTTTTTGACGTTAACTTTCGCCGATAATCGCAATAATACCATTCTTCACCACTTTTCAAAAATGCTGAACGGACAAAGTTGTGCTGGCGCATTGTCATGGTGCAAGAACTATGAGTTGTCTCGCCACAACTCGCCACAACTCATCTTCTTTTGCGGATTTATTCACGGAACTGTTGTAAAACGCCTTGATAGTACACACGTTTCACTGTTTCACCTTGAGGAAATGACCATCACTTTGACATTGAACCGAAATTGGCGTGCTTTATTGGGGCGAGATTTTTTGTCAATCTATCGTGATGATTGAACTTTTGTCTCAATGTCGTACCGTAAACCCAGCGTTCGTCCCCGTTACGGTTCTTTGAATGAATGTTTCGTCGTCATTTAATTGTTCAACGATTTGCTGACAAACGTCCATATGATTTTCTTTCTCTTGTTCGGTCATCAAACGAGGAACAAATTTTGCTGCAACTCGATGCATGTTCAATTTTTCAGTTAAAACTTCATGGCATGACCCAATTGAGATGGTAACCCCTTCCACACTTTTTCTGACAGTCAATCGGCGATTTACATGCACAAGATCTTTGATTTTCTGAACGTGGTAGTCATCAGTTCAGCCTTCCTGGTCCAAAATCATCTTCAGTTGCCTGACGACACTTTTAAATAGTGAAAGCCATTGCGCACGACCTAGAACATCATCTGCGCAAGCTTGTTTCATAAATTGAAACGTTTGCGTGAAGGTTCTTCCCACTTTCACGCAAAATTTCACGTTGTATCGTTCCAGAAAATCACACATTTCAAAAATTCGTCACTAACACGAACACGTTGCACTCAAATACCAATATTACGAAAACTAAACAATCCAAGAACATGTGGTTACAGAGAAGGTTATGCGCAACGCAATGCTGCCAACGGTATATCACTAAATATCTCCAATAGCGCGTAATTCAAAAAGTTCCGTTATTTTCTAAATAGATCTCGTATAAGTTTATATACTATATTTCACTGTCTTCTATACACAGTATGTATCACTAAGTTGGAACCATATGGAAAACTTTTTTATTATTAATTTTAGGAAAAAAGTTATTCTTCATAATAAGTTCTGCATGTTCTAAAATCTTACATACAATCATCAGATATTAAATTTTTTCAGTCGCGCGGTTTGTCAAAAAATATGAATTTTACGCAGGCCTTTACCTTACCTTGACAATATCGAAAATTGTTATGAAGAAAAGTTGATCAGAACTAAAAACTACGTTCAAATATGCAATTACATCCAATTACATTAAAAAAATATATTTTTTCTTTTTTTGTCTACAATATCAATGCAAATTTAACTGTAGTTACATGTAATCTAGGATGCACTGACATACAAACGATTTGTTGATAGCAAGAAATGTCTGACAGTGAGTTACAAAACGCGTTAGAATTTATAAGACACATAAAAATGGTAGCGCTATTAATAGTCCGGGAGGCAGCGACACTATTGATGTAATTATTCCTACAAAGCTGATTTTTTCTCATTTTGTTGTTTTGATATCGCAAGTAAACGGAACGGCAGTCTACCGCGCCAATGTGGGGGCAAACATTAATAACAATTTTTGAAACATGTAAATAAATAATATGTAAATGTCTTATACCTACAAGTGTGAAACTTTTTTGAGTGATCAATTATACCAAAAAATACAGTATAATGATAGTCTACCGCGTCGGAAGCGGGGCCATCAAGAGTCTACCACTCACGGAAGGTGTTGAAAAATTAACTTTTTTGACTTATTTCTTTCAAGGCTGATTTTTTTTCTCAAATACTTTAGTTTATAAGAGAACCAAAAAAAAAACAGTCTACCGATCATCTAAGGGTGCAAAGCCTTGATAGACGCAATGGAATGCACGATCTCCCAAGGGCAGTCGCTGCGCCAATCCGCTGTAAATCGCTCTAAATAATAACTCATACCGAGATTAATTTAAAATCTACAAAGTTGCTTTTCTGTCTATAGATAGTTTACAATAATTATTGTCAATAAACGTCTTCCATCTTCGATACAAGGTGGTTAAAGCTTCGGTAGACATGGCTAAAGTTTTTGCGCGGGAACTACTGAAAGGACGGCTGCATTCAAACTATTACAATAATAAGGAGATACAATATTTATTGAAAGCAGCTGCAATACATTAATTTCATAATTATTTAATGTTCAATCCTATATTATTATTTATAAAATGTATTGTTGCATGTTTTTTAAAATTAAATAACAAAATAATCTCCGATTTTATTATTAATTTTAAACAATTTAGAAGTAAACTGAATGACGAAAAGTACAGTAAGTTACTGTTATTCGGGCTCGGCGAATATTGGTTGGCTATTCAAAAGGCGAGCCAATATCCTTGGCTGGATATATGACCTCGGATGGAGCGGGGTCGAGCGGGATTATAGCTCTTTACCCACTTCTTCGCTGTAGGCCCGGACACCTCGTAGATATAGGCCCTTTCCCCGTCATCTTGGACCGCCGATTAATTCGTGGCGACTTTTCCTGTCCTGGCTGGGCCCAGCCGGAAAGGGCCCTTTCTTCTGGAGCTCCTCTTCCTTCGTCGGCTCATCTGAGTAAACCCCCACGCTGTGTCGTGTGTGGGTGAGGTCACGCAGCAATGCAGCTTAGGAAGCACTGTGTTAAGCCAACGCGGGAGGGGAGAGGGGTAAGGAAAGTAGGGGGGGAGATGTGTGTGTGTATATGTCGTCGTTTTCGGTTCTTGATACTGGTGGTCCTGAAACAGACGGAAAAATTTCGACTCACCCTGCATCCAGAAGTTGATATCTAGGCCGCCTGCATCTGCCGGTAGCCTCTGCGGATCAACGGGTTGCTGTGTCTGATTACTTTCAGGGTATTTAAAAGGTGTTATACCTGCTCCCTAAATATGTTTGTCTCGGCTCCGGCCATTCATCCCCTCTTGATCTTTACGCGTCGAATTTATAGCAGAGTCATCCGGTGTAGCCGACACGATATATAAGATACTAAATCTGATATTTTGAACGTCCCATTTAGTATTGAAATTTTGAATTTAGTCTGTAGTATTTAGTATTTTTAATTTTAAATTAATATATACTCTAGTATTTCCTTGTTATGTTATTATCGAAAATCATGAAAATTCTGCCACAATCCTGATCGTGAAGAATTAACAAAACAAAAGTTAACTCGGCAGTTGTAATTTGATCTCTTTTTAAAGTTCCTTGGCGTTCCGTTCTTCTATCTATGATTGTTCTATATTCCTTTCCGTTGTGTCACCAGATCATTTCCTTACTTTTATATCGGTTTTAAGGTTAGTCGTTTATCAGTTAAATCTAAATCCTTAAAATAAACGCAAACCAAACTACCATTAGTGAATTGTACTAAATTGGCAAACAAAAATGCAGAATGTTATCTATTTGTTTTTCATAGTTATTGATCATTTTTTTCTTAGTACTTTGTAGTATCTTCAGAAAACTTCAAGTTAACTCCACATTAAACTTTTTCCAATTTTATCGTAAATTACCAGGATTTAGCATATCCTGTTTTTTTTTTGTACCAATCAGTATTTACTGCTAACCCAAAGGCGACAACCCTGGTGCTAGCTGCTCACAAGTGTGGCTTTGGTAAGCATCATGGATATAAATTATAAGTGAAAGAGAAATAAATTTAATTATCCAACGGTAAAAAGGTCAGTTATTTGAAAAAAAATGTATTTTCAACTTTTACTAATATTATAGTAGCTAAAATCTCGCTCGCTAATGCTAGCTCGTTATTACTAATATCGTACGTTTTAATAATGGTGCGAGCTCAAAAAATTATAATTATTTAAATTAGGAATTTTAAACAACCTCGCGCGCAAAAATTTTAGCCACGTCTACCAAAACTTCAGCCAACTTGTATCGAAGGAAGAAAACGTTTATTTGACGATAATTATCGTAAACTACTTATAGACAAAAAATCAGCTTCGTAGATTTTAATTTAATCCCGACATGACTAATTAATAATTATTCAGAGCGATTTAAAGCGGATTGGCGCAGCGACTGCCCTTGGGAGATCGTGCATTCCATTGCGTCTATCAAGGCTTTGCACCCTTAGATGATCGGTAGACTGTTTTCTTTGGTTCTCTTATAAACTAAAGTATTTGAGAAAAAAAAATTCAGCCTTGTAGAAATAAGTCAAAAAAGTTAATTTTTCAACACCTTCCGTGAGTGGTAGACTCTTGATGGCCCCGCTTCCGACGCGGTAGACTATCATTATACTGTATTTTTTGGTATAATTGATCACTCAAAAAAGTTTCACACTTGTAGGTATAAGACATTTACATATTATTTATTTACATGTTTCAAAAATTGTTATTAATGTTTGCCCCCACATTGGCGCGGTAGACTGCCGTTCCGTTTACTTGCGATATCAAAACAACAAAATGAGAAAAAATCAGCTTTGTAGGAATTGGTGCAATATTTCTGTCGCTGCCTCCCGGGCTATAACTTATCAAGAGAAAATAGAAATTGTTTTGATTGTGGGAGAAAATTATAAAATACACAGAGAAGCAGCTATTATTTTTAATAATACACATCCCAATAAAAATATTAATCATTCAACTTTTACGAAAATAGTAAATAAATTTAAGAGTACTGGAAGTATTAAAAATAATTTTAATGGAAAATGCCAAAAGCTGGTTGCCGATGAGAATACGCAGTTTGAAGTATTGCTGTCTGTGGTAGCAAATCCAAAACTGTCATTGCGCAAAAAGAAGTCGTTGATGCAACAAAATGTAAGTAAAGATACAGTGGCAAAAATTTTAAAACTAAATAAATGCAAACCATTCAAACTAAAAATTTATCACACATTGAAAGAAAGGGATTATGATAGGCGCTTTTAATTTTGCTGTCTCATCCAAAGAGAGTTAAATGAGGACCCTTTTTTAACGAGGCAAATAATTTTTTTCGATGAAGCAACGTTTTCGTCAAATGGAACTGTCTCGTCACAACATTTTCGCTCGTGATCTAAATTTTGTAAAATTGCAAAGTCTCATGACCAATATTTATTTAAGACGAACGTGTGGTGTGGTATTAAGAACATATTAAGAGGTTTAACTAACCTTTAACTTTTCATTTTCGAGCGCTAGCTCCGCTCTTCGGCGCTTGTATACTATTAGAAATATGCAACAGTAAATTTAAACAATTGTTTACTTAAAGTTAAAGGTTTACCCCGCACGTACGATTTTGTTTTTTGTTAATATGTTGAATAATGTACGACTACGGCTAACAGGCGCAAAATGTTAAGTAGCTTTGGAACTAAACGATAATAATAATAATAATATAATATCTCTACTCCTCATTCTAATTACGAGAATTAGCCCATAAGTCTGAGACTTGTGCGGGAGAGGAGGCGGCATATTATTATTAGGCAGGCCGCATTTGCGCCCAGGAACGACTTATGTTGGTAGGCCCTAACCACCATTCAGTGCATGAATGAGGGAAACCTGGAAAACCTCATTAATTAGGGGGCTGGTCAAATGCCAACCGGTGTCAATCTCTCACATTGACCCAAGCCAACATTCTTCCACCCTACCATACCTGCACAGAGGGTGCCAATCCTCCGTACAAGCATAGCTAATCTACGGTCTACCGGCCGCGGGAATCGAACCCGGGCAGAAATTTGC